GGGGAAGAAGCGGAGCGCATGCGCACGCTCCGCAGCCGGCTGATGAAGGAAGGTGGGACCACGCCGGGGCGGGAGGTTCTCCCTCTGTCCCCGCCCCCGCACGACGACGATTGGCTGCAGTGCGCGGGGGCGCCTCGCCCATTGGCTAGGCGCAGCGTCCGTCCGGCTCGGGCGCCACGGCCGCCATGGTTCGCTTCAAGAACAGGTGAGGCCGGAGGCGCCGCCACCGTCGGGCCGGGTCCGTCCCGCGCCGCTGACGCCGCGCTCTCCTGCAGGTACGTGCTGTGCGAGGTGGTCTCGGAGGACCCGCGGTGCCGGCAGTGCATCGAGGACCGCGCGGTGGGCCTCGCCGTCAGGGACGCCGTCGGGCGGGTGCACGGGGACTACGGCCTGGCCTGCTGCTCCATCTCCTTCACAGGTGCCGGCGGGACGCGCTGTCCCGCCTCCCCGGGCCCCTCGGGGGAGTGAGGGGGGGGCTCCTCGGGGAAGGGCCGGGGCGCGGGGTTCCGGGCTCACCGGTGCGCGTGTGCCCCCGCAGTGAAGTACCTGAACGCCTACACCGGGACCGTGCTCCTGCGGTGCCGCAAGGACTCCTACAGGCTGCTCTGCTCCGCGCTCCCCTTCGTGAGGCAGCTGGAGAGCCGGAACCAGCGGTACCCCTGCTCCCTCAACACCTTGCACGTCGGAGGTCAGCCGCTGCCTAAGCTGCCCCGGTGCTGGGTGCGGAGTCTCTGGTGCCTGGGGGTGGGGGGGGGAGGCCGCGGAGCTTAATCGTACCTTCCAGGCCTGCTAAAATGGAAGAACCCCATCTTACTGCTGTGGGTGCGAGAGACCCCATCTTATGTGTCACTAACTCGGAAGCTTCTAGCAGATCTAAATAAGAAACAGGCACCAGCAGTTCTTTGTTGAAACCCTCATTAATTCTGCTTGAATCTTCATTACATTTAACACAAAACCAGAGTAGCAAATACTACATTACATTATTTTCTTTTAAAAATATATTTTCAAAGTATAGTATCATCCATGTCCTGAAAATTAACCACTTGGGGCAAATAATGGACACTACATGTTAGAAATTATTATTCCACCACTTAACCTCAACAGTGGGGAAATGAAGTCTACAGCCACTTCTTAGCACTTGCATTAGTAAAGTTGTTGCCTGGGGCATCTGTTGCTTGATACAATGATGTTCAGAAAATACACTAGCAGCTCTGAAACACTTGGTTTTGTAGATTGTTACATATTGTTCTTGTGACTCCTACAGGTACTATAAGAACATGTCAGAAATTTCTAATTCAGTATAATAGAAGACAGCTGCTGATGTTGTTGCAAAACTGTACAAATGAAGGTGAGTTCCTCCAGCCACTTTCCTAAAATGCAGACTCAATTCCTGGGGGTTTTGTTGGATATGCTGGGCTACTTCTGAATTCTTGAACTGAGAAATGTTCCTGTAGAAGTTGAGGATATTCCAGTGTATGTGAAGAGATCAAGTAATGACCCTCTGTTGCTCTCTTTATTGCAGAGGAAAGACGGTGTATACAGAAGTCCTTGTTGAGCTGTTCCCTTACAGAAGAGCACTCTCAAAGTGGAGATGAGGAAGACGATGATGGCCCAGAGACAGACTGAACGTTACTAGTTACTGTTCACCTCTGTCCTGTACTTGTGTAATCAAGATGTTACCAGTTATCTTCAGAGTTAAGCAAAGCAGGGGACAGAAAAGGCATCTGTTTGTATTTAGACTTCATTCCCCCATTCTGAGTGTTCTTAAATAAATAAATTTTTAAAAATACAGTTTTACTTAAGTAGGTTACTTGCCTGTTTCACCCCAGGAGTCAAAACCACCTGCACTCCTAAGGAGTGTAGCAGCTCAATGTGATCTTCATGCTGAGGTAGAAGTGAGCTTTAGGCAGTTGGCATGGACAAGGAATGTAGTTATTCTCCTCGAGTACAGAAAAAGCATTAACATCTTACTGTTTTTTACCTTATCTTCAAGTGCACCTGTTATCCATAGGGCTGTCCATTGTTTTGAGTCACAAAAGCACCAGTTGTGTACACAGGAGCAGAGATTACAGGGAACGCAAGGTAGAGCTGTAAGGCTCAACTCCATCCGACCCATTATAAAACTCATAGGTACAAGTACTGCTTAGATATTTATTAAGTTTACACCGATCAGTTACAGGAAAGTAGTGTGTTGCTGGTATTATCTCTTGAATCCATAGGAAAACAAGATACAGCTTGAAGATGCTGCCCTGGGGAGACTGCTCCTGCAGAAGGGACAGTCTTCCTTGCCCACATCGCTTCCCTTACTTGTTCTAGTGCCTGCGAGATGTGGAGGTGAGCTACACCAGCTCCAGCTATTCTGTCTCTCTTCCCAATGCAAAGAAAAGTTGACTATAAATGTGCAGAGATAATAGAACACAACAGATACTGGTTAGACACCAAGTAGTTACTCCTGTTCCATGGCTTAAAATGACTATTACAATTCGGAAACAATAGTACTGTGAACGCAGTTAGCTGCATGCTTGAATCTTTCTTAGTTGCTTTCTCTGCCCTCACCAATAATTTTCCAATGTGCACATAAAGCAAGATGTGTTACCACTTTCAGGCATCTTGGCTTAGTTTCTTTGCACTCTCTTGACAAGCTGTACTGTCTTTCCATCAGGTGTAGTTAATTGTGACCAAGCATGAAGTCAAGCTGCTTTCAAAGAATGTTTTGCAAGTGTTTCCTCCATCCTCCTGCAGCAGTTGAAGTATTCTTTACGTCCCCCCTCTCCCCCTTCTTTCTGGTTTACAGCCGCATACAGAGCTTTGTGAAGTATACTTGTTGGTACTAGCTTCCCACACGCACACGCTTAAGTGCCTCGAGGAAGCACTTGTATAATATGGAGCCTATTGCTTTGAAATCAAGCATCGATGTATTGACATGAACTTTCTAAATAGGGACACAACCAATGGCTTTACCAGTGGTGTTAGAACACCTGACTCCAGAGGTCTCAAACACACGCTTCCTTGCTCAGATGAGTCACAGTGTCGGAGGGAGAGAGCACATCAACTTTTTAAAGCCTGTGCAAATGCAGGCAGGCCACTGGTGCAGGCAGGGCTGAAGATAACAGAAGGCACCCGTCAGTCTTGCACTGTAAGTTAGCGCCAGCTCCCCGGCATGAATTCTGTCAGTAGGAAGGTAAGATTTGACTCTGTGCAACTAAGTGGTATTGTGCTCCACGTTGATATGACAGTTCAGGTATAGCTCAGGAAGTGTGCAGCACTGTAAGTGCGTGTGCGTATGATTTATTGCAACTGTTGGCCTTGACTGGTACATTACACCTATAGTTCATTTTATTCAACAAAATCCACACCACTTAATTCATTTGCTCAAATCAAACCACAAGCAGTGCAGAATGTGACCACCCAAAGAAAGAGCGGGGAGGGGTCCAGAAGAGGCATGTTTATAGCCTGAGGTGCTTAGTGCAGATCAACTTACATCCCAGAACCAAGCGGATACAGGCCCTTATCCCAGTACAAGAGACCCCAGTTTTTTGCTGGGGGATAAAAGTTATCTACAGACTCCAGCTATCAGTTGTTCTTCCAATTCAAGAGCAGCCAGTGTCAAAACATCATTCAGGTAGTTACCAAGAGCCCTAGGGTGGAGTGTTTATTCTAGATGATCAGGTTACAAAGAATGCGTAGCCCATGGTTGGGAAAAAAAAATAAAATTAGCAGCCTCACTCACCCACAGTAAAACAGAGTTGAACAACTGAAAGAAGCCAGGAGGTTCCTTCTACCACTAGTGCCAGTACGCATTTTGAAATACACAAATTCATCAAGAGTCACTTCAAAACCAAGTAGCCAAGTTCTGCTTTACACTCACCTCAGCTTTAAATCTTTCCAAGACAGGAGAACAGGAGGAATTCTTGCTCTTTAGAAAAAGAACAGATATAGCAGCTAACACTCTAAAGCCAGGAAGCTCTTTTGCCCATTTCCAGTGCAGCGGAAACCAGTTTCTCAAGAGAGCAGTTTGACAGCTTTACTGAAACAGCACTACTGTCACAGTCAGATGGACTTCTGCCCATGAATACTTCTAGGGAAATAAAGGCCCTCTGCCTCTTCACTTAGGTAATATTGCAGTATTCTGGCAGTGCCATGCAGCTGTAAAGACTTTCATACTGCTTATTAGGCCAAAAGAACCAACTTGGCACAGACTAGAAGCCTTGGCTGATTTGTCTCTGGGTTGTTTCTTTCAAAACTTTGTTTCAGTATAAACTGATTAAGCAGTTGGAATCAAAAAGATCTTACTTCAACATATACTGTCATGGTTTCCTCCTGAACCCCCTAGAAGCCCTGGAAACACAAGTTTAGTCTGTTCAAATTTAAATATTTAAACTATAGCAGCAAAACAAAGCAAAATGAAAAGAAAACCAGGAGAGGAAACTTCTCTTGAATAGCAGAATCACTTTGTGTGAACAACAGAGGTGCTGAACAATAGCTTCTGCTTCTGTTTCTTTCTTTTCTTGCCTCCCTTTTCCTCTGTGAAGAATTAAAATGATACTGTCATTCTTCTCATGGAACAGGAACATCACACAGAAATGATAAATGGTATTCCCTAGCCTAAATGACTTCTATTGGTCCGTGACACTTCCTATCAACTCACTGAGCACCAAGTAGTTTAATTTTACAAAAAAATTACTGCAGACAAACTAAGGGAGACTCCATCACACCTAAAACACACCTATAAACATGCCTAACTGATTCTAAAGTTGGCTTTAGAACTCTCTGTTGCAACAGCAGATCCCAGGACTGCAAGCGTGCAGCAGTTTGCCTTTCAGACAAGTATTGCTTTCATCCATGTCCAACACTACAACTGGAGCTGATACTCAATTTCACTGAAACTCCCAGGCCCTCCCATCCAACTCTTTCCATCATTCAGTGTAGTCTCCAAACAGAAGCCAAAGCTAAACATCAGAACTGAGCATTATAATTGAGTTTGATCAGCCAGCACCAGGCTTGGGGGTTTAAGTTCATCTCAATTTGTTCCAGATTCCCTAATTTGAAATTTCAGCTAGCAGTTACCTTGACATTTTGGTCAAATTTAGTGGTAGTTCAGCAGCTCAGGTATTTTTAGTTTAAAAGTGCATAACCTGAACTTCCTTGAGATAAAGCTTAAATTAAGTTCCGGTAGAGACATGGCAAACATGATTGTCAAAAGCCATCTTTGTCCTAATGGGATTCTTTCCTAGTTGGAGATCTCAGCTCCCACTAAGAGACCTGCTTTAAGCTAACAGAAGCCCTAGTCAAGCTGCTCAGAAACCACAACCTGACAATTTTCAGAACTGTTCTGCGGCCAATTTTTGGTCCCCAAAATTGCTGCTCTCACTTCTCCCAGGAGAAGAAAGTGAAAATATTGAGTATTTCCCTTCAGAAATTTTTCATGCCTTCCCCCCGCCTTTTACCTGATAAGTGATCAGCTGTGGACGGTTTGTCCAGTTTCAGGAGAGCTGCCTCAATAGCTTGGCTGAAGGAATTCTGGAAGCTGGGCACAGGTATGCGGTCAGAGCTGTCACTTTCTCCATCACTATCCACTGGCACAGGGAGTGCCAGAGTGTTCTCATCTGAAAGAGGGAAAGGGCCTTGAGAGGCAGAAGGCTGTATAAAACTTTCACAGTGCAAATGCCCCTCCACACTCCAGATGTTTCTTGTGAAGTTACAAGATTTCGTAGATTTAGATGCATGGTAAAGAACCTGAAGTAGTAATACCGAATTTTCTTACCTCTTGTCTTTGGAGCAGGTTTGGGCCATGTTTCTGGTTTTGCTTTTCCAACTCTCAACATCTATCAAAAAAGTTGTAAGATATGATTAAATCCCATGTACTAGAACAATGCTGCATATCCCCTAAGTGGCAGGAAAATCTAGGAACCCCTTCAAGCACTCAAACCCTATGTTGTCTCCATAAGATTTATCCCACATTGTTTTTGTGGGGGAAGCAATTGTGTTCTCAGACTAATCCCCAACTAAAGACACAAGTAATTCTGACAAGATTTACTCTGCTGCATGGCTTACCTGGGCAAAGGAAGGGAAGGGAGACTCTTCTTCTAAACTCCCACAGAGCAACGGGCTGACCTGGCTAGCAGCAGGTGACAGTGGAGTTGGAATAGACTCTACAGAGAAAGCAGCAGATAATTAAAGCCAGTTGCATTTGGCAAAGGCACTCATTATGCTGCTTATCAGGATGAAACAGAAATAAAGTTTTATTATCTTATGTAATTAACCATTTTTATCTCATCAGTTCCATCCATTAGTCACACAGTGGGACCTCTCAAATTTCCTCAATCTTTTTATTTAAGGAAGATTTAAAGTTTGGGGTTTTTTTTTGTTTGGGGTTTTTTGTTTGCTTATTTTGGGGTGTTGTGTGGGTTTTTTGTTTTGTTTTTTTGGGGGGATTTTTTTTTTCCCCAAAAAACATTTTAGAATAGTTTCTATTTAATATTTTTTAATGAACTGCAAGATAAAACATTTGGTAAAGCATCACTGGACAACAACCTAACTGAGTGCTCAGCAACTACGTTTTATTTTAGTATAACGTGGAGGAAGATGGAGAGGGTAGAAAGAAAAAAATGCCAGTAGTGTTTTCCTGGCATACACACTTTTCTTCCCTTTTGGGGGAACTTTTTCCTTTCTTTTCTTCTGACTCAGCAAAGACTTAAAAGATGGGGTAACTACAGTGCAGATCTATTGTCACTGAAGTAGAGGTAGTAAAAAGCAGACAAAGGACCAGAATGTTTCTTGGCTGTGTCAGCCTTTTGTGTATGATCTCATAGGCAATCTAGGAAAGAAGCAGTCTTTGATCAGTATTAAGAAAGTTTAGCGTGATGACCTGAGCAGTAGATCCCAAAAGAATGATCAAGAGCTAGGTGTGATGTGTTTTTCCAGATGCTCACCTGTCTGAAACACAGGGCTTCTGCCAAGAGGAGACAGACAGAAGCTCTGATGATCAATGCTGGTAGTTTCTCCGGGGCAAGAGGTAAAAGCAGGGAACTGCTGCAGATTCTCTAAAGCAATATGGACCTCTGGATCTAGAAAGAGGTTTTAAATTAAAGCACTACACAATGTGGGGGAGGACTGTCAATATGCAAGTTGTTTCAGGAGTCTAGGAGGTGCCAACTCAATTTTCTTTCCACCCTCTATTTTAGAGACCAGTACAAGCCCTGCTGCTGGATGGAAGCAGTTCCTAGGCATTTTTTTTTCCTTCTTCACTTTTCACTCTATATCGTGATTGCTATAAAAACAGAAATTAAGAATCCTGAGAGCTATATACACCATGGAGATAGCTGCGCCCTTGAATGCCCTCTGTCTCTCCCATAATGTGCAAGTATGCAGCAATTGCATAACACTTAACATCCTGACTAAACCAGCTTATATTTTTCACTCTACAGATGTTGTTTCTAATACCTTGTAATCTTGTTCTAAGTACACGCTACAAACTAAAGGCCTTAGAGTTCATCCTATAGCTCAAGAAATCAGCTCAGCAACTAAAGATGACTGGAAATCCACCAGTTATACTCAATCACGACTTACATTTGCCCTGTTTCTTGTTTTCTTCTATCTCAATTCTGCGTTCACGTCGTCGTTCATCACGAGCTTTCTTCTGCCGTAGACGTTTCCTCTTTTCAAGGTCATCTAGGAGCAATGCACAGCATTGGATATCAAAAAAAACCACACCAATACTTTGACAATGTTTTCTCCAGCTTTGAGAACAACGTATTCAGTTATAACACATTAGTAACAAAATATGCTTACAAACAACATATGCTCTTCCAAGCAGTCAGGCTTTTTTATTCTTTGTATAATTGTTGTCTATAAAACAGTGAATTGGGGTTGTTCTGTCTAGTAGTCATCAGACAGTTGGTGCAAGAGGAGTAAAGCTGCTATGTATGTTCTTTTTTCTGCCATTAAGAGATAAGAACGACTTCCCCTTCACCCTGACGGATACATGACAGAGCCTACTATAAAGGTAGTACCAACCTGAAAACAAGTCTAAAGTCTCCTTAGAGATGATGGGTGGCTTCAGAGCCAGTTCACAAATGCTGAACTCACAGGTGAGGGGCAAGTGACAGAGGTAGCGATGACGCTGTCTTATATCCTGATAAAAAAAGAGCAGACATATCACAACAAGGTCTAGAGGCTGCCATAGTAATGAATAGCTTATGGAGATAGAACATCCACCATTCATCAAATTCAAATGGAAAAAAATAGCAGCAGTGACACAATAATCACTTTATAAACTACAAACACATGAAGGATGCCCCGGGTCAGAACCAAATGTTCCAAGATCTCCACCAACTACATCATAATCTGATTTGGATGCAGTGACTCCACCTCACTTACTGATTGTCTTGTTATTCCTCCCTTCTCACTCACACCACTGGAAGAAAATTCTACAATACCAGTCTTCCGACGCAATTGTTTTTGCACTGGACCAAATTTGCCTTTTACACTTAAATTATCTGGACCAACGACCACCACTTTGCTAGACTGAAACAAGCCGAGTTTTGTATTTTTCCTTGCAGGGCTGAAAAACTTGAAGACAACTCCCTACTACCTCTGCATCCATTCTTACTTGAGCATATCCTTTCTTAAAGATGAATTAAGAATTATCTATAGTTGTTACTGCACGTGCCGATTCTTACAGTTGTCTTTATCTGAGGTAAAGGAATTCAAGACCCATGTCCCCTTCCAGAACTTCAGTGCCTTAAGCACTTTCACTCTATCTCAAACACTGAAGCTTCTTTCCATCCTCTTTATTTTTGTAACATCCCACCTCTACCCTTGATGCTCAGAAACAACTGTTAGCTCAAGACAGAGGCAGAACACTTCTTCAGGTTGAGAAAGATAATCTGTCTAGTTCAAGCTACCGTCTTGTATGAGAAAAGAATTTACTTTTTTTAAGACAGCTTTAACAACAAACCGATCTTAAGCTTGCAATTCTCTTACTCCTAGAATTTCCTACCTTCTTGAAAAAAAAAAAAGCTAGACTGCAGCCTACTTATCAAAAGCAACATAAGGTACTGCACCTTACACAGATACCCTTCACAGATTAGCATGCCTACCCGTTCATAGTTATTATTTCTTACTAATGAAGAGAAACAAGTCTCATCTGTCAGCCACAATGATCAATCTGCTAAAACAAGGGCCTAATCCTACTAATCTTCTTAATTAGTAAGAAGATAAAATAACTACCTCTGTCATTGAGTAGCCAGTTATCTCCACTACAGCTGCAGTTATCTTCTCTGGACTCTTCTCCAAGCTGCCGTATTCACGAACAAGACATCGAACATTCACAGGGTGAAGATACATACACTGTCCATCCTCCGCTGTAAGATAAGGTATCATCACTTGTTCTTTGCCTGTTAATTTTCAATACCCCTCTCCCCACCTCAGTACATTCTCCAGTAATAAAATTAAAGCTCCTTCCTGAGTCTCTGTGGGACTTTTATTTCACAGGGGTTAGCTGCATCTAATGAAGTGACAAACATCTTCCTCAAGAAGGATCCCAAAGGAGGCATCTCTGCCCCCATGATTCCAAGATTTCATTGCACTGACCTTGATAGAAATAGTAAAAAGGAGAGTTGCTAAGATGTCCACTGCTAGTTGTATCTTTAGATTCTTGGTAGCTTGTTTCAGCTGGATTTGGTTCTTCTGTAGTGTTCATATCAGGTTCCCCTACAGTGTCCACCTCAGGTACTTCCTCTTCATCCAGCACTGCCTCTTCTGCTTCCACAGGAGGCGAAAAGGAACTTGCCAGATCAGAGCAAGGCTCCACAAGCTCCTCATCAAATGCAGAGAGATATTCCACACCACACTATCACAGCAGAGAGCATACAGTTAGGACTACATCACCTCCTTTAAAAGATACCATTTCTGCAAAAATCTTTGGCACCAGTTCACCATACAATGCAGTGTAAAGTGGCAGAATTAAGTATTAACAGGATCTGCCAGAGCAGAGTTGCCACCCACCTTTTTCTCTTGGGAAACTGCAGGCTCCCCAGCCTTGGAGCTTTCTAGGACCAGTTCTTCCACAGCTGCACTGATTCCAGCAATGCCATTGTTTTTATCCTGGTCAGCAGAGAGTGCTGTTTCTCGCTCCTACAGGTCATCCAAAAGAGAACAAGTTTCAATTTCCTATTTAAGCCAGGAGACCATCACCATAGTTATTTTTAGCCTTGTCCTATACTTCAGGTTTTCTAATTCATCTGTAACAAAGAGTGACCCTTGAAGGACAAGAAGTAGTCCTCTCCTTCTTGTTACTGGAAAGCACATCCATTGTAGGATGCCTAAAGGCTTTGAAAAGGAATATTCTACAGGTTTGCTCATGTCTGCCCGATAGAAATTATCCCAGAAATTGCTGGACCTGAAAGGGAAACACATCTTCCTTTGAAAGCAGAACTCCTTTACATCTATGGAAGGAATACCATTCCGTAAAAAGCATTGTGTTCTGTTATCTTGAACATCACACCAGATACATGGGGTCCAAAGGCTATAGTCTCCTCCAAGACTTATAATGCTATTCTAGCAGCAAACATCACCACCTTGCTAGTATGTACAACGTGGAGACCAGAATAATCACACACAACGACTTATGCAGCAGAACATAGATGCTCAGCACTCAACATACTCTTAAAAATAAAGTTACTAAAAGCCTCCAAAGAGGTTCTCACCTTCAGTTCCTGGATAGCTGCCTCAATAAAGCAAGCCTCTGGGGTATGTTTTTCTTCCTCATACTGTTTTAGTAATGCCGCTTTCTCCTCCAGAATCACCAGCTGCAAGACCTGCTCCCTGGATGCCAGAAGTAGTTTTGAATACTGACTGTGCTGGTCATCTGAACAGAATGAGCACCAGATCATTAATATCCGCATGTAGAGGCACCAGTTTGGACTGCTGTTTCTTCTGAAGTTTTGTTACTGCTCAGTTTTGTGAGTTAATCCACCCCAGGGCGGACAATACTTAGCAAGAGTTTGATACAGACCCCGCATATTACCATTATATCATTGATGACACAAGCTGGTGCCACATACCTGCTCTGCTACACACATCTCCCACACACAGCAGTTTATCTGCCACTTTCAACCCGCCACTTCACCACTCAGTTGCTACACATCAAAAAAAATCAAGTCTAAACATCTATGCTGTGGAAGCACCACCTTTGAGAAGCCTTAAGTGGTCAAAACTTCCTAAAACACTGCTGTCTGCAGCTTCTTCCTCTTCTCTATATACTCAAAAATACTGCAACTGGAAAGTTCTGCAAAAGTGACCTCTGTTTTGGCTCAAATTAGTTCATAAGCCTGTATGTATTAAAAATCCATACAAAACATTATGAGGATTTTACAAGAAGCACAGCAGAAATAGTAAGCTAAAGAATTGCAAGTTTAGCAAAAGGTAGTCTTCTTTGTTACTAGAGAGCTTATCTTAACTATAAACTTTACAGCAACCATAGATAGCATCACATACTAGCACAGTCCCTATATTCACTGCTCCCCAAGGGTCCGACCTTGTCTACAGAACACCAAGTTAATGCTGAATTTCCTGGGTTTAGAATGATCTCAAATCCCTATTTGTTCTTTTGTTTGTTTTATGAAAGGATTTGAAGTCCTTTACTTTCAAATACTGAGAAACACGTACGCACACACCCTGCATGCTGGATATGCATCATGTGTTAGGAGACTTGACTTTTTACAGAGAGCTTAAATGCACGCAGCCTTTCATAAATATGACTGCAAAATGAAGTGGGCCAAGACAGCCCACAAAACAGCAATGTTAAGTAAAATTATTTCTTTAGTCACAAATTTTTTGTGATACTAACAGATAAGATGATGATGTGTTAAGTCACATTATTTGACTGGAGAAAACTGAAGAAGTCAGGCAACAGATGTTTGGAATAGGTTTGCAATGATTTTGATTATTTTCTCATATCATTCACAGATTTTAGTTGATAAGTGAAGATGATGAAAACCTTGTTGAAGATTACATCCTTGAAATAGTTTAGACACAGAGACAGTTATTTTTGCTAAGCTGTATAATGAGAAGCCAGGAGGAAAAAAAGAGTTAAGGACACTGAGGAGCCAACAAAAGCAGCAAGAGTCACACCAATGACTTGTGGTCATTGATACAAAACACACATCAAACTAATACCAACGATTGAGAAGGCAGGAGTCTGCAGTGCAGTAACTTGAAGGGAAACAGCACACAAGTTAAAGCCTTACAAAAAACAAAATGTGGGTAGAAAGCTTATTATTAATATGTGGTCATTAAGGTTTTCAGCTGCTAAATCCCATGTTTTGTAGTCTGGTTTATTTTAAGGTGACAGCATGGCATTGCCATGGTAAATCCTCTCTGCACAAGTCCTAGTCACGCTTAGGAGCAGGATGCCAACCACCAGTACTCGGATACACTCACCTCCGATGTAAACAGGCTGCACCACATTCATCCATTGAGATTTGGGCAGTGCTATCAGAACACCTTTCTCTCTTCTCATAAGTTGCATCGTAATGATATCACCAATTGCATATTGACGTGTTTCCATAGCAACAACACTGCAATGTAAGGAGGAGGTTAGTAGGGTAAAAATAACATTTCAAAAAGATACATCATTTAATAAATATCAAGTCTCACCTCTTGAGATCTTTCTTGTGAACAGAGCCATAACAAATAGGACATTTACTCCAGGTCTTTTCACTCAAGGAGAGATAGTGAAGGATACATGCCCAACAAAAGATATGCCCACAGCGGGTGATCTTTGCTGCGGTTGGTGGGTACAGACATATCGGGCAAGAGGGCACTTCATGGCTACAAATTCGCTGAAATGGCACGAGAAGAACAGTACAAGTTTTAGACTTGGAAATCAGTTCCTGTGCTACAGAATAAGCCACCTGTAAGATCTACTCTAACATATTAATCTTCCAGCTCTTTAGGCTCTGCTTATTTACCAAGAAACTAAGTACACTGTGAACTAAGTAACACCTTCAGACTGCACATGGAATAACCTTCAAAGCTACCCATCTGTTATTTCTACTCTAATGATATTAAAAAAGTGACTCTTCTCATGGTTCCCCTCATGTATTCATCATCTCTAAGAGTTAGCAGCATCTTCATCATCTGAATTCAGACACTGAGAAGACAGCAAATGAGCTCTGTCGCTTCACTTACACAAGCAGACTTGTGCAGCCCTGTTTAACTGTGAGACTGAACTTACCTATTTCCATGAACATGCTAGTTTAGTCAGATACTTTGTTAGCATCTGTATGTTGCAGAGACATAACTGCCAAGCAAGCACCTAGATTTTTCAGCTCTCTTGTAGCATCAGGTAACAGTAAGCCTACCTCCTCTCCAGCTACACCATACACTACGACTAGTCTTGGCAAATAATAAGTTTCTACTTGAGGCAACCCAAAGTTCTGACCGCAGTTCTCAAGAGATTTTCCATTTTGTTGCTAGGCAAGATGGGCCACCTATGCACAGAATAATTCTTCAAAATTCTACACTCTAGTCCTCTTCCATGGACTCATGCCCAAGTTTTCTGTTAATATCTCGATCACAAGGACTCTGTCTACAGAATGTCAGATACTATTTTTGATGAGCTCCCATCTGCGAAAGCAAGAAGAAGCTGCTAATTTTCCTAATAGATTTTAGCACTTCTCTTTTCCTGTCATGAAAGTATTTCATAATATATTCCATGACAGAACTTTCCCAGTATTGTGGGAGTGACAGAAGAGGCCTCAACTCAAAAACAGCTGAGTTTTACGTAACATCACAGAGATAAAGAAGCAGTTAAAGACAGGTTGAGCTTCTTAAGAAGAAGAGAAAAAAAAAAATCTAGCCCATCACAACTGACCACTTGCTCCACAAAGTCCCAGTTGACCAAGGTATCTGGATCAGCAAAGTGGACTGTGTAGTCCTGTTCTTCAGAGACAACAAACTGGCAGCTGGGGAAAGGCAAAGAGACAGATGACCCACTCAGTTGTTTCTAAAAATTCTTTGAGAACTATCCTATAGGATTCTCTGAGCTGCTTCTTTGTCCAGCAGAAAACTGCCAGATGCAGTCAGTAATTTCTACCAACAAAACCCAAAAGAGTTCAATTCACAACCAGATTTCCAGAATACAGGTGCGTCTAGTCTCAGTTAGACACAACACCACATACTAATGACAGAATGAGCCAGGCAGAGTGGTTTTCCAGAAACGTGTAAGAAACAGCCAGCTCCATTGGGGATCTATTAAAAAACAGGGAAACCACAAGTAGAAAAAAAATGCTCACAAAAACTAGAAATACTGGGGTTCCCGCAAATAGCTTTCACTACAATAAGCCACAAAACAATAGGGAAAAAGTCAGAAGCATCGATGCTGAAAATAGTTTTTATTATCTTTAACATGACCAGATACAGGAAGTCCTGAACACACTTCAAATTCCGGTGAAAGTGACCATTATTTCCAGTCAAAAGCAATTCTGCTGCTGGATTACTATACTGATCATCATTTGGATTACACTACATACCTAAGGGCCTGTGAAATAATCAGCAGTTTAAGAACTAAGACCCATATGAGTAATTGCTTCTGGGGCTTATAAATTCAGATTAGCTTTCATCCAGCAACTGCTACCCCTACCATTTCAACATACTATTTTTTTGAAAAACAACTGTCTTCCGTAAGGGAACTACATACGTCTTCCCAAATGGAGTGTCATATTCCACAAGCGATGCTAGAAAATTAGAGCAGAAGACTAATTGGTTTGTATGGAAAGGACTCACTCCATCAGGTACCTTGTAAATAGGTAAAGATGACAACTTGATATATTTTTATCCCTTTCAAGTATAGTCATTACCACTAAAAACACTACGGAGAGGTAACTTCACCCTGGAAAAGTCAATACAAGTAGTCAAAGTCAAACACAATTCCCTGGCTGATCAGCCCTTACAGCTCAGTGCCTCTGTAGAAGTCTAAGAGCCCTGCTGGTCTTCCACTCACTTGGCCTGTAGGAAGAGCTCCTTGTTGAAAGGCTTATGTCCCCACTTGTTCCTTTTCCCCCAGTTGCCATGTCCATTCCCATCAAAATGGCCTGCTTGGCCACGGGGTTCAAAAGTGAAGTTCAGTAAGTGGTTCAGATTAATCTTCTTGGGACCAGAGAATTGGGCAGGGCTGAACTCTGCCCGCTGAGCCTCTGCTACCTAAGAAACAACAGCATTTGTTAGAACTTGCTAGAATTTACTGCAAAAGCATCAGTACAAGTTGATACCCAGGCCCCATCAGTGATTATGTACAGAATACACAGCATCCACTCACTCACCTTCTCCCATTCCAGTTCTGCAAATCAAGTAGTGCAGCATTAGAAGTGCATGAGAACCTGAAAGTTAGAACTGAGTGGTCTTACCCCACACTGAAAAACCACCCACATAAGGACAAGTAAAAGCTGGCAAAACCTAGCAGTCAAGGTTAATAACAGAAGAAAGTTGTTTGAATCCTGACAATATTCTTTCAGACAGCCAGTAATACAAGTCTGATTACTATTTGCACAGGTTGTACTTGTTTTGGTTATAGTTTTCATACAATGAAGCAAAGAGTAAGAATTCAACAGACACAGCAGGTGAGTTTTGACAGAGTCAGCAATTTAGGTAAGCAGTGTTGCTCATCCACCAAAACTGAAAAATCAGAGTATCAATGAAAACCCATGAATCATCTACAGTATTTAGACCCACATCAGCATAAAAGCCTCAGTCTGGTTTTACTCCATCTTGATGTCACCAAGGCTAATACGATTACTTTCCCAATACCACTATCACATGCAAATTTGTACACTGAAGTGGTTAGACACAATCACCCCAGACTTAAAAGCTAGAAATTGCATCACTAGATATTTTCATGAAGGACCTCTGTTTCATGAGATATGTATATGGCCTGTCTAAGTACCCATTCCTCAGATGGTATTTTTTATTGCAAGTCTCTCAGAGCAGAGAGCACTCCTCTTCTGTTGTTGCCAAGTTGTTCCGCTCACACTCACTCTGGCATCTCAACGATGTTAGCACCTCTTATCGCTCTTCCCCTTCCCAGCCCAGGAGCTGAACACAGAAGACCTATCTAGGCAGGTCAGAGTGATCCTCTCGTCCCAAGAAAGAAGGCCTTGGAAGCATGGCATTACAATTCTCACCTCATCTCGTCTTCCACCATTACAAGAGCTAAAAAGTTTGCCATTTCCGCCGCTACCTCCCCTTTGGGGGGGCATCTTGTTAAAAGCTTTGCTTTTCTGTGAATTGGAGCGACGGGATTGACTGGAAAAGTTCTCATTTTTTGAATATGAAGTTTCTCTTTTACGATTATAACGCTGTTTGGATCCATTCGCATTCTTTCCATCTGAAAGAAAAAAAAGAAAAAAAAAAAAACAAGAATCAGATCAGCAGCCTCAAGAGTTGTCCACATGTACTGCACCCTGCACCGCTTTGCCTCAGAGACGTGCTCACCTTGGCCACTGCCTTGGGCCCTGGTTAAAAGGCTGGTGTTTATCAGGACATCAAATCCCCCCAGCAACCCAAACTATTTCATTCCTATCACTGCCCAAAGAACTGGCCAAAGAGCATAAAAGAAGGAAAAACAAGACAGATCAGCAGCCTCAAGAGTTGTCCACATGTACTGCACCTCAGCTAGCTTTGCCTCAGAGACGTGCTCACCTTGGCCACTGCCTTGGGCCCTGGTTAAAAGGCTGGTGTTTATCAGGACATCAAATCCCCCCAGCAACCCAAACTATTTCATTCCTATCACTGCCCAAAGAACTGGCCAAAGAGCATAAAAGAAGGATGTATTTGCTGTGCTTTATCTTTTATTAGAATGGTTGAATTTTCTTTATCCAGATTTGGAATTGCCGTCACCAGACATTAGTGTGTTGCCTGGTACATTAAGCAATAAATACCAACACCACTTTTTCATGCCCCATTACAAAAATTGACAACAACTAGTTCATTTTTTCATTCAATTTTCTGAAAACACACAATTTATCATATATTGTTCCCTTATATAAATATACTGCTGCCTGCATTTGTCTTGAAGTCTCCCACTTTGCAAGACCCCATTGCCTGTTTTCACTCAGTTCTGCCCCCTATGCTTAAAAGACCCCAACAGATCTAGTTCTGTTTTAAAAATACTCTTTTCTTTCACAAGGCCAACAAATGCTAATCGATCTTGAAGCACGAACCCAACGCTTTGGCCTTGCAGGGCACATACCAAATATCTAAGTACTAAGTCCACCAACCTATGCAACAAGAACTGTTTGCCCGAAAGCATGCTGAGCGCAGCACTGACCCTAACACAGGACACAGTGGTGAAGCACAAAGCAAAATACTGCAGAAATAAAGCTCACAAGAGCAGAAAAATCAGTCAAGCTCTTGAGAGGGGTTTCCTGTGTCTAAACAGCTGCTTCATTAGACTGCTAGAATGGAAAATTAATACTATGAAGGTATTAATAGTCTTAATACAAGATCAGAGTTGCCCCAAGGACACAACAGACTGCTTACCTGTCACTGAACCTAGCATTTCCACCAACTGCCCTAAGTTTTATTTGTAGAAGAGGTATGTTGATAAGCTTGGAAGCAAAACTCCACAGGCCCAGTGAGATGTCTATCCACACCAGCCAGCCTCAAAGTCACTCTGGATAGTCAGTAAGCGTTACACAAACAGTAACGCCTCATACAATACCTAGATCCATTTTATAAAAGCCTACTGGTTTCCCTTTTTCCACTTCGTAGTCCTCCCCATCCCTTAATATAAATCTTATGTGGCAGGCAAACAGACTGTGATTCAGGATCGTGTTTCTCATATGGGTAGTTTTCATTACCAGTGCCTCCAGTTTTCCCCTTCCCCGGCACCACTTCCAATCTACCTGAGCATTTAAAACAGCTGGAATTGGGTCATTCACACAAAGTCTCACTTTTTTTTTTAGTTTTCTCTCCCACCTGCACCCCCAAAAAGAGGGGTCAGTGGACTGGAAGGTCTGTGTGTTATTGTACATCACTGAGGATCTGACTTCTTAAGAATAAGTTAAGTAATAAAAGTGGCTTGACTGGGTGTTGTGGTGGTCTGCTGTTTCTTGCACATGGCAGACTTCAGTCTTTGCCTGCAACTACAGCTATAGAAGTAAAAGGACACTATCATTACTTTCACATGGTGTGACAGAGCCATTCTGCAGACAAACTTCATTACCAGAACTGGTCATTTACTCTGCTATTCAAAAGGCTGATCCTTTAATTCAGAATTAAACCAACTCTGTCGGAACCACAGATGTGTAACTCAAACACATGCTTGCATAGCTTGCAGTGCTATAATGCACATCAGGCTAAAAAGACATGGGTTGAGTGTTATCAAGAAAAAAAACACACCAGAAGCTGCCAAGTACTGAGGGTGTGACCAGGTCTGGCTGAATGATTATTTAGATAGACCTTTTTTGAGAGTGTTTGTAGGGAAGAGGCTATAATCAACACCACTGAGTCTGGTAAACAATTAAGTCATTTTGAAGAGGTTTGGACTACTACTTCAGTTATTCAGGAGCAGAGCTTGTCAGTTTAGAGCTCAACCACCCTCTTAAATCTGCAATTTCAGTGAACACACTGGAGGGGCACATGCCTATTGTGTCTATAGCAACTTTGCAGTTTCTCTGCAATCATCAACTGGGGAAAAGAAACAACTCAAGAGGAGGAGTTCAGTCTAAAGTAGGTCTTTACAAGGCCCAGGAACAAGGAACAGTTTGCACTTGCAGCTGATAGAAGAATTTCCTACCACTTATAGTTTTACTCAAGTTAGTCACCATCAAATTTGTCGGTCAGCTGGTTTACACACATTCCTGTCATACTACAGGTCCTTTCAGACAAACTCCTAGAGCCTTTGGGAGTCACTATAATGACTCTCACATTCTACAGTAAAGTCCTCTCCACCTGTGCCTTTTTTAGGAAGGACCTTACAGGACAGTCTAACAACGCCCCAAACCTGATTTTACTGATTGCAAGTTTCCCCTCCCAGAATAATTACCCTCATGAGGATTCTGGTCCATCAGAGTAGTAATGAAATCAGTCAACAGACAACCAAAAGTTTGGAGTATGCATTTGTAAACTGGAACACTTCTCCCCTACCCCGAATCTAAGCAGTGCTGTTCCTTCCAACCTTTCCAGCATGCCACGTGTCAGAGAACTCTCTGCTTTCTATCATCCCTCCTTGCATTCCCATGAAGAGCGGGGCAGGACAGGGCTACCTGCAGACTCACGCAGGGAGAAAAGTGGAAGATTCTCACTGCCATCCTCTCTTGTTAGATCCCAGTTTTAAGTAGCGTAGGTTTGGATTTGGTAGTTTCTTTTTTCCTTCTTTTCTTGGCAAATTAGAAATGAGCAACAACAGTGCTGGTGAGGTACTTACTCTTCACTCAGGTCCTCAGTCCTTTTGCAGTTCTCACAAGATCTAACCTATAATAAATATATCTACCCATCCACACTCCAAGAGAACACAGACTTATAAAAAAATACTGTCTATATAATTTTATAAAACTAGCAACAAAGCTGTCTTGCCTTTTGGAGCAAGCCCTGACACCTGTGGTTTCTCCTGCTGGATGCCACATTCTATTAGAGGACCTCTATCTCCAAAGATCCAGAGAGAGGAGATCAAGTTCACAGGACTAAAAGCAGCTGTAGGTGACCACTTTGGTCCTGGAGCTGCAGTACTGGTTTGCTACTGGGGTAAGGACTACAGTTTCCTTCCGTCTTTGTTTGCCTCTTCTTTTCAGCTGAGCCGTGTTGAAGCCAACCATATTGCATAAGGGGTTTGGGTGGTGGATCACACTTAAGCCGCAGGGTGATTTCATGAAAACACACTGAAACTATTGTTGCTGCTAAGGCAAACATCCCAGTGAGCAAGAGGTGACTGAGCAGTCACGCACCCCAGCTAAGCATGCTCACACCGTAATAATAAGGCCCAGGAATGCTTGTGAGAACTAATGCTGCCATCAGGTCTCGAGGACTGCAGAGAAACCCAACAAGCCTATTTTCCCTTAGCTACTTTATTCCATCCTAATGGGGTGTGACTCCTGTTGGTGCACTAATATAACCCAAAGAAACTTTTCTGTTGGAAACTTCCTAGTTTAATTTAGTTTCTAAGGCCAAGTTTGAAAGATAGCTGGAATCCAACTTCCACAAGTACAAGAGCTTACAGTAGCCTATTTAGCCCATTTCAAGCTGTACTGCAAGAGAAACAGAAGGAGAAGCTACCGTAAGGTTTCACAAACATCCACTTCATTTCTTCCACTGGACTTTATCACAGCAGATAACTCTGAAAAGCATCTAAATGGCAAGAGGTTGACTAGACTCAAATCCAGTGACCACCAGTGCAAAAGTCACTTATGCCACAGAAGGTCAGCATTTTGGGGAAGGGCTGTGGTCCATCAAGAATACTTTCCATTCCAAAGAAGGCACAAGATTTTCAGAATACCTCCTATACCTTTCCTGAAACAGGGCAGAAATTGGGTGGACCACATCAGCTACATGTAGAATGATAAGGAACTCAAGAAAAAAGTCCCATATGGTGACATGCCAGTGTCTTGCATATAACAGGTACCAAAACATAGCCACAATTTAACACAGCTGCATCCTGTGTGTTCGTCCTGTGGTTGCTTGCCCTAGTCTGACCAAGGGAATCTTCTCATTTTAGTTTTCGGTACCCTCCAGTTAAGATATTCCCAAATATACATCTACTCCTACTAAAAAAGATTCTAATTTTGCGTGGCCTCTTCGATGCACCATAAATGGTCGACAGCTGGCTGAACATGAGCCGGCAGTGTGCCCAGGCGGCCAGGAAGGCCAATGGCATCCTGGCCTGTATCAGAAATAGTGTGGCCAGCAGGAGTAGGGAAGTGATCGTGCCTCTGTACTCGACACTGGTGAGGCCGCACCTCGAATACTGTGTTCAGTTTTGGGCCCCTCACTACAAGAAGGACGTTGAGGTGCTGGAGCATGTCCAGAGAAGGGCAACGAGGCTGGTGAGGGGTCTGGAGAACAAGTCTGATGAGGAGCGGCTGAGGGAACTGGGGTTGTTTAGCCTGCAGAAAAGGAGGCTGAGGGGAGACCTCATCGCTCTCTACAACCGCCTGAAAGGAGGTTGTAGCGAGGTAGGTGTCGGTCTCTTCTCCCAAGTAACTAGTGATAGGACAAGAGGAAATGGCCTCAAGTTGCACCAGGGGAGGTTTAGATTGGATGTAAGGAAAAATGTCTTTACTGAAAGAGTGGTGAAACATTGGACCAGGCTGCCCAGGGAAGTGGTGGAGTCCCCATCCCTGGAGGTATTTAAAAGACGTGTAGATGAGGCGCTTAGGGACATGGT